TATACATTATCTTAAAAAAACAATTCTACTGAAAATCTAAAAATCAGATATAAATTAAATTCTGCGTTTATAGAAACGTCTCCACTTTGCATCGATTTTTTCCAAATAATAAGTTCCCTCAAAGAACGCTTCTTCGACTGAACTTCCATCACCCACAACATCAAAATCATTTTTATTGTGAGTTTCCTCTCGCAATCGCATCACTTCATTAAACTCTTCTGGCGATGATTTTACACGTGAATCAAGACGGTTTTTTATATCCAATACTTTATGGATTTGATCGACGGATTTCACAATTTGAAAGGAGAAAAATGATGACGCAAGACCTGATCCGTATGAAAACATGCCGACGCGTTTTCCTAACTATATAGTATATATATTCATAATTTCATTAGTGTTGGAATGAATAACCGTAAAAGCCGGATCTGTGTACCCGAGGTATATCTCTAATTCATTTCAATATCCAGGACATTTGTGTAGGGTGATATACTGTACAGAGTAAACATGGTTTACTATATTTCTTGGTATGATAAATATAGTATACAGTATATATTACATGGGTACGCTAGTATAATCACCACCTAACTCTTAAAACTGGTAAGGTATACACGTCACGGGGATACACAGGATCGACTTTTACGGTATATTAAAACATAATCCTAGATCTTTTAATGCGCAATAACCACACACTATGTAATTAAATTTAACAGTTACTGCACATTAAGATATCTAGGTTTCTGCATAGATATTAACGCACCAATTCTTCAGGTGCAACGTTTGACAACAAAGTTGCAAGACATGAATATATAGAGGCGCAGTACATATTCCCTATTTGGGTAGCAGCCATTAAATTGGGCAAAACTTTCTTTGTATACGAAGTTTTAGAAACTTCCATGAATGCTTTTTCAAGTTCTTTTGACTGTAAAGACTCTTCAGCATTCATATTCTGGTTGATGAATAAGTCGGTTAATTCAAATATCATAATCGAAATTATTCAGACCTAACAAATTTTTACCTTGAATTGTTGAACATTACTAAAACAAGGGTCTTCGGAATTGTGAACAAAGTCATTATAGAACAGCCTAGCATAAGACTTCTGCACAAGTTTGCAGTAAGGCGCGTGAAAAAGCATATGATCAAAGTAGTTTATGGTAGGTCTTTCTATTTGTTCCTATTATCATTACATATGTATCAGTTATGACAAATCAACCAAAGATAAAGCAAATGTATGATATAATACTTTGGCAATTAGTTTTTCGACATAGCGATTGTAACACACATCCAAAGATTTCAGGTAACAAGCATTACTGAGATGTCCATCAACCACCGGGAATTCAGAAGATAAATCAGGTTTATCTGAATTTCAAGATAACAGGGTTTTGTTAAGAATAATCTTTACTTTATCGAGAAAAGGATTTAATCAACTTACAGAAATCCCAAGTGTGTATCATATGAGTTGCACGAAGACCTTATAATTCATAAATGCGTGTTATTTGGTTGCAAAAATATTAAAAACATATTAATGTAGTAAAAAGCTTACCGCGATCAAAAACAATTGGTGCATCTTTACCAATAAGCATAGCAACACATCCAGCACCACCTGTAGGGCGTGCTGGCCCTGAAGCATAGACTGCGATATCTGCAGCAACAACAAGTGCATAACGACCATCCCACGAAGATGATTCCACCCAGTTCAGGGCATTGAAAAGAGCATTCGTACCTAAAGCATTTAAAAAACTAAGCATAAATAAATATCCATTATAAATAGACCAAGAAAAATAAAGTTTACCTCCATAACAAGCATTTTTATTGTCAATTCCTTCGACATCGGTGTTTCCAGATTCAGCAAAGAGTTGCATTAAAACACTTTTTACGGACTTTGACTTATCAACTGTGTGAATAAAGCAGGTAATCAACACTACACGGTCAAGAATCAGTAAAAGATTGAAAATTAATACTTACTGATAGTCTCAGTACCAACTTCAAGACGACCGATATCCTTATAAGGGACATTGTACTTCTCGATGAGATTTTGCACGGCTAAAATACAAAATATTATGAACTCTAATGATTACGACAATAATGGTCTTTATTAAATAATACTCACCAGTTAGTGCAATGGAATTGACATCTAAAATTCATAAATATAAATTAATCATTGTCAATGAAGAATTGATTATTCTTGCGTACCTTCACGGTCATCACAGAATCCCATTCTTGTCTGACCCAAACCGATGGTATATCTACCAGTGGATACACCATCAAATTGTTCGAGTTCAGCTTGGTCAATAAACTGTGAAATTAAAAATATTAATAATTTAATGAATTCATTTCAACATCAAATCTATTTGTTGAAAAATTACATACCCTTTTGGGAAAATATATTTCTACGGCTAGGATACCAACGTTTTGCGGATACATCATTAAATTATTATGTAGGTATAAAATTTTCGTGACGACTTGAAAATTAAATTTCTTGGAAACCCCCACCCCTTATAAAAAAACACATGTTCACATAAATAGTAAGATTTTCGTTATCAATATCAGATAAATCGGGAAGAGGTACAAAAAAAAAAAAAAAAAGGATTTTCTTGGATATTAATAGTTCCTAATTGAAATTATTAGGCCGAAAAATACTTCATGTGACATGCGGAAAGTTAGCACCTATTATAGGGGACGTTTAAAGCCTGGCACCTTCCGGTCTTTCCGATTTTAATTAATATTAGGGTTTAGGGTTAGACATAGGCTAGGAGGTTAATAGATATATAGTAAAAATCGCTTTCCGACACTTTTACTTTGTGCGTTTTTGTCTTTGTCGGAAAATCTGGAACATATCTCGGGTAATTTCGTAAGATGCCCCCTAATACACATAGAGACTTGTACTAAGTAAAAAATGGCTATAATAATACCCGGGTCAAAATCCTTATCCAAAATAATAAATTGGGGTTAGAATTCTATACTTCAAAGTATGAGTATTAGGAACCATCGCTATTAAGGTTAGCGATTGAGAAATCTCAATTAGCTAACGCTAAGGAAACTTAAAGTAATTATCAATATCTTCGTCGGGCTATTTCGGATTGATGATAGTTATAATTCACAATTTCATTGGTCACTAGTCCCATGATTGTATACGACGATTGAAGGATCTTAGTGATAAATCTATAAAAAGCTAACATTAAAATTTATTGAGAAAATCAATTGTACCTTCTGAGCATTTACCAAGTTGTGGATTAATAGGAATTATTATTACACATTCGATGCAGATTACGCGATATTTGTTGAACGCTACGCAAAAGGTTTGCCATTATATCCTAGCATATTGTAATTATGCGGACATACAATCCAATTTTACACATTTTGATTTATTAGACATCCACTGGACTTTTTGGTCTAGCTGTTCATCCAAATCCACGACATCATCTAATCGAAACTTATAATAATACCCTCAATGCACTTACAAAACTACCTTCAAATGCTTTGTACCGTCAGGCAACGGAATCATTAACAAAGCATAGGCTTTCAATTGTTGAATCAACTGAAAACATCAAAGAAATCGAAAACAAAATTGACGCAGGTATAATTGAAGAAGTTATTGTACAGGCTGAAGATGAACTTAAGCTGGTTGCTAAGATGGAAGAGTTGAAACCGTAAGTATTTTTGTGGATATTGTATCGTTTATATCTGGTCTAAAAATAATGAATTATGTGATAATCAAATTGTTCGTGTGCATAAACATAGATGGGAACCTCTTCAGGATCCACCACCAGAAAAACAATGGGGATATGGAATTGCTAAATAAAATTAATATTAACTCTGAAATTATTTGACTGATAATTCACATAAATTTTGGTTTAAAATTGATGAAAATCAAGTGAGAACAATTACCCGTAAATACAGCACGTATATGTAATACATGTGGCTTTATTATTAACGTAGCATTAAGGTAGCGTAGATAGAATATAGTCAACTCGAATTCTCAATTCCGTTTAAAATATATTTTAAAGAATTTATTATGTTTTTAATTCGAACCTTAACGGGAAATGTTCTGATCGATTATTTTACTAATGTATATTGTTGTTAAAATATTCTTAAACAGATTGGCAAGCATGTTTGCCTGCAAATTTTTGATCAAAATTGTTTTTGATAGTACAACTTAAATAATAATAATATAGTATTATTACTAACCAGACTACATGCAAGGAACTTTTAGCTAATATCACTTTTAACTATTTATAATAGCATCTCACCTTTATGTGAATTACATGCCTCGAATGTAACAACCTGGACAAACAATACTTCGAGACTACAAGTGTGGATTTTCAACTTTTTTATAGTGCTGACATCAAAGAAGATATTTTTTTCTTTCGCAAGAGTTTTTTACTTAGATATATTAATTATATAAATTTAGAGTAAAGATTAATTTAAATAGTAGTATATAATTTTTATAAGCCCAATATAGGTTTATAATTGTAACTGTCCAGTATGAGTAAAAAATCCTATATTTTTTTGGTTTATTTTTTATTTTTTTCTTGTTTATATATTTTATCATACCTTCCTATACCTGAGTTTTTTTTTTATACAGTTTTTTTTTTACTTTTCTACAAGATATTATTAGATTAGCAATATTTTATTATAGAGCAGTGATCAGATAAGCTTCCAGAAGGT